GTGTTTGACTTTCCAGTGTGGTCCCTAGTTGTGAGCTTTCCTTACAGTGGAATTGGGTTATGTATAGCCAGGACATCTGGTCACCCTAACTGGTACTGACAACATCTAAAGAACCAACCACAGAAATGAGGCATAATGGATCCCTCAGGGTCCAGTGGATGAGAGTGAATGGGTTGTAAAATGAGATGAAGGGCTTAGACATTTTATTGCATGTATAGGGTTGGATGAGCCAGTCATGACCATAGAAGAAATACAAGGTGTCTTCAGCCTTTCCATTTGTACCAAGAAACAAATCCCAGCTCAAAAACTAAAGTGCAGTATGAAAAACTTGTCTGATATTTTCTCACCTCTAGATAGTGTTAAAAACTGCATTACCGCCCCTTCCCGAAACTTTTGCTGTTTAGACAAATTGCTGTAATTGCAATGAGGAACATAGAAGTCCCAATGTATTAGAAAGTTTTTCACGCTAATTTGTGATCTTTTCCACTATAAAGTTGACAAGCTGTTTCTGGCCAAACTCCAAAACACAGGCCTTAATGCAGCACTGTTTCCCAACAGCCTTGTTAGTTAGTTACATAAACTTGTAATAGCACATGAAAAGTTCATAGTTGTATTATCACTGTGGTTTTTATTTAGATTAAGCACATGTTGCTATTGCTTGGCTTTCTCCAATAACAAACTGGAAGACATTCAGCCTGTAAACATAGTTTGTTGTTGTTTTGTTTTTTTTAAAAATCACCTGAGCATTGTAAAGTATAATCTTTTGGGGAAGCAGAGCTCAATTCAAGCATGGTACCATATTCAAGCATTGTACCAACAGTAGGCAATGCTGTTTTCTAGCTAGTATGGCAAATGGGGCTTGTCTTTGTGAATCCCAAGTACTGGAAACAATAACTATCTTGGCTGGGATTTTCAAAAGAGCCTAGAAGAGAGAGGTGCTCAAATCCCATTGGAAATTCAGTAAGAATAAAGCAGCTAGTTTCCTGAGGCTCTTTTGAAATACCCAGCCTTAGCCCCCAATGGGTGCAGTTTGCCAGACAAATTTTGAAATGTTACTTGACAGTAATCTGGAAGAGTAGTGGAAATTTTACTCTGATATCTAAAATATTTTAAGGTATTTTTGTTGGGAGATTATCGGGCTTTGCTTTCCAGAAAAGATCAAAAATGAGCTGATGCCAAACACTTTATTTCCAGGTTTGAAATTCTCCCATTCCCCCATTTTTTTTTAACTTCCTCCTAGGTTTCTCCAGTTTTGGTACTTATATATGATGAGCAAGTCCATATGTCCAGGAAGTTAAGACATTCATTCTCTTATTTTTAAGATTGCAATGACCCAGCCTACTCTGCAGCCCAGATTAAATGTTCATTTTTAAATGATTGTCATAAAATAAGCAGCTAGTTAAGTGTAGACTGGAAAAAAAGGGCAAAGGATGAGCGGGGGAGGGATAGTTCAGTGGTTTGAGCATTGGCCTGCTAAACCTGGGGTTGTGAGCTCTATCCACTCAGGGATCTGGGGCAAAAATCAGTACTTGGTCCTGCTAGTGAAGGCAGGGGACTGGACTTGATGACCTTTCAAGGTCCCTTCCAGTTCTATGGAAATAGGTATATCTCCCAATGCAGTAGGAAAAAATCTTTCAAGCTGATGCATAATAGCAAAGAGTCACTGGAGGGACAGTTGTTAGAAGCAATATGCCCCTCTATCAGCCTGACCACTTCTGTCTAACAACTGTCCGTCTAGTGACTCTTTGCTGTTGTGTGTGTGTGTGTGTATGTATGTATGTGTATATATATATATGTATATAATATTCAAATTTGCTTCCTGTTAGGTAGAGGAATGTCTAATGGTTTATACTTAGTGTGGTGAAGAGGAGGGAAGTATGGTAACTTGCTCAAACAGGCATGTGGGAGAGAACTGCCCTTGCCAAAAGTGCAAGCTTTCTGCCACTTATGCATTGGCTTCAGTCCGGCTTGCCTTGATCCTTTGCACTGAGTTTCTTATCGCTTCAGCACTATGAGATAGTGACTGCTATTGACGTAACCAGTCAGCACTCTTATCTCTGACTAAAGTGAAAACCTGGGGAGCCTTCCATCCTAAAGTGCTTCACATCATATAGACGTACAACACCACTGAAATGCGGACACGTCTTTGGTGTGAGTTCAACAATCGGGTGGACACTATGCACGCAGCATCCTACACAAACTATGGAGGAGAGTTGGAATAAGGACAGTGGCATAAAATTATGGGATGTTTAACATCCTTGCAAAATGGAGAGACATTTAGTTTTTTAGGTTATATCGTCAAGACGAGCATAGTGTGTAAATTGCATGAAAGTTGCTTTGACCTTGAAAAAATGAAGGACTGTCTCGACCCTGGTGAGATGTGAACATGTGCTTCCAGGAAATCTATGCACAAGTTGATGTTGGGCAATAATTTGCATGAGGTGGTATCTTAGAACAGGTTTCTTAGTGGTAACCATAGTAACGAATGGCTCATGTGCTGAATTTTCATTTGCAACCACTGCAATTCAAACGTGATGCTCAGACCACTAAGCATCTGCTCCAACATCAAAAGACGATGATAATTCATTTTCATTTTAAATAAATTCCTGTTTTAATCAAGGAAATTTCTGGGAGTGGAGTGCAAAAAGCAATTTATTATTAGCACTGTGATTTTAAAATATGCTCCCACTTTGAAGCAGTCTCCGTTGAAGAAGTATTCAAGTGTTTGAATTTGTACAGTTATAACAGGGATAGATTACAAATTGTGACTTTTTGCAACCCTGTTTCCCCCCACCCCCAGGAATGATTGTAATTTCTTATTATATGGAATAAAAATTATCATTTGTTTAAAATGACATACATTTGTAAACCTGATGATAGTGTATGTAAGTTCAGTAGAAACTACTTTATGTAAGTAAAAACAATTTTATAATATTGATATTAAGATTTATGTTTACCAATGTTTTAGAGTTTTAATAGCATTTCTCACAAAGATTAAGATGTATGCATTACCATTAGGCTATACATTTTGCATCATGAGCTGTAGATTATGCTAACTTTCATGCTATTAGTGCTTATGTAAGACTTTATCCATTGCTGCGGGGGGGGGAGGGAGGGGAAGCTGTATAACCTGAATTAATAGTAGGCAAAAATTGCTAGGTTTCTTAGACATCTTAGATTTGCTGATTAATTCTCATATGTGAGAACTGCCGTGTAATTGCAGTGTACCATTGTGAAAACAAAAGCAGGAAGAAATATCCTTGCCTAATATGCTGTACTGGTACAGTAATACATGCTTGGAAATTGTGATGTGAAGATGAAAAGAAAATCTGATGCTGCTTCTTACGTCAGATTTCTGGCATGGCCTCCTGCATGCGTGAATTGGTGACACTGGTCATTGGAGCGCAGATATTAGCATATTTTCTGAGTGCTGCGAAGCTTTGAGGATGGCCAGAAGGAGAGGCTGAGAGAGCCTAAAAGTGATCATGATCAATATAGAGACTTTTTTTTTTAACAGCATGGCTGCTTGGTTGAAGATAAAGTAAATGAATTCACCAACCTGTGCATGTAGGATTTATCAGTTCAAATGCTTGATTGCGTTCACCATCTTCTGCTCTACTAAGGGGTGTTGATCTAGCATTGTCTTTCTGTCTGAGTAATCGGGCTATCCTGGATTTACATGTTTAACCCTTTGAGGGATAATTGACAAACCATACCCATGTTTTTCCTCCAGACATTTACATTCTAAAAGTGATTTTATAATGTACATTTGTCTAGTGTCTTATTTCTGTAATTAAAGGAAAGAAAATCTTGTGCTTAAGACACTGGAACGTGGGAGATCTGGGTTCAATTCCTGGAGCTACCACAGGTTTCTTGTGTGACCTTGGTCATGTCACATAATCTCAATCCTCTGTCTATAAAGTGGGAATGATGATGTTTCCTTTTATCTGTCTTGTCTATTTAAACAGTCCCAATGAGCTTACAGGCTATGGTTATGGAGCACGCAGCGTAATGGGGTCCTGATCTCGCTTGGAGCCTCTCTGCACTGTTGTAATATAAATAATAAAAACATTTTTGTTGTTGTTTCATTTGTACAGCTTTTTAAAAGCAAAACTGGAAATCTCCCTTTTTTTCTGTATGTCAAATACTTCTTTAAAACAATAGAACAGCATTAGCTACAGTCTCTTTGGTTATGTTTTATTAAGATCACAAAGGTGTTTACCTAATTTCTTCAGCCAATTTTGAATGTCACTCAAGACATCCTCTAGCAAGGCAGCACGAATATCTGTCAGCCTTCCATAAAAACATCTTTGATAGTCACAAAGTAGTCAGTTGTTTTAGGAGTACATAGTCATCCAAGAGGAAAAAGATACCTCAAATTATTATTTAAGGATTATCTTTGAAGAACAATGCATTAATACATAATGGATTTAGTGTTTTGTATTAACTGATTCCCCATCCCTCATTAAAATAATGGTAAGTTTATGTTTCAGATTTTCAGAAATGTATACAGCAAATATGAACTGAAAAGGAAAAGCTATTTTACTAACACAGGTAGTAGATACAATAGTAATACCTATATGCCTGATAGGTGAGTGCATTAGACATGCGATGGATAGATACTAGGAGCCCTTTTCTGAAGGGATTTTGAAATGTTTTTATGAGCAGGAAAATAAATACCCATGCAAAACACTTTTTAAAGGTTGCATTTCCCATTTACTGTTCTCTAATACTATTGAATTGCTCAAACCCTATTGAACATAAATTAAATTATTTCCCAGGTGACATGCTATGATCATATATTAACTAATAAGGGATGCAAACAGAAGTGAAAAGTGTGCTTTTCTAGGCTCCTAATGTTTTTACATAAGATATATTTTACTAATAAACTGTACCTAAAAAAAACATAATACACAAGGCAAGGACCAACTCAAAAAATAGTTTAGCCTTTGTGTCTGAATGTGTAATAAACTGATTCTGCCTCTTTTGATGTTTCATAGAAATGGAGATGCAGTTAACCAAATGGCTGTTACTCCTTTCCCATTACCTTCAAGCTCCCAGTCTTCCATTGAGGTAAGATGTGTTTTTTGATTAGGGTTTACTAAATTAGATTAATCATAATTAGTACAATATACATTCAAACACCTTGTCTGATTAATCCCTGAAAGCTAATATGCATTAGGTAGGAACTGGATCAAATGTGTGTGTTTTCCCTTGTTTTTTAAATGAAACAATTGGCATGGTGCTAGGTGACAAGATATTGTCTTAGTTACTGTGATACAGCAGGAAAATAAATCATTGAATGAAAGCCTTGCTGTCTCCTGTCACGATTATTTTTGAGAAAGTTGAAAGTTTTGTGGTGGGGAGGTGTTGCCTGGAACACAAGTGAAATCTGAGAATCCTCCCAGTGAAGAAATTGGCATTTTCTGTGGGAGACATGCAGGGAGACATCTTGTAAGTGAAGGCCAAGCAGGGCCGCCCAGAGGATTCAGGGGGCCTGGGGCAAAGCAATTTCGGGGGCCCCTTCCATAAAAAAAGTTGCTTTACTATAGAATACTATATTCTTGTGGGGGCCCCTGCAGGCATACTAAGGCCAAGACGTCCCACCAGGTTTTGATTCCTTCAAAGGCATTAGGAGTAAATCCAAATAGCTGAATTTAGAAAATAAACATTAAAGGCCTGACCAATGCCCCCTGAAGGCAATAGAACAGGGGTCGGCAATGTTTGGCACGCGGCTCGCCAGGATAAGCACCCTGGCAGGCCGGGCCAGTTTATTTATCTGCTGACGCGGCGGGTTTGGCCGATCGCGGCCCCCACTGGCCGCGGTGCGCCGTCCTGGGCCAATGGGGGCGGCAGGAAGCTGCGGCCAGCACATAGCTCGCCCGCGCCGCTTCCCGCCGCCCCCATTGGCCCGGGATGGCGAACCGCGGCCAGTGGGGGGCCACGATTGGCTGAACCTGCCGCATCAGCAGGTAAATAAACTGGCCTGGCCCGCCAGTGTGCTTACCCTGGCGAGCCGCATCCCAAATGTTGCCGACCCCTGCAATAGAACTATTTCCATATTTATTATTTGCATTACAGTAGAGAGGTAGGTCCCAACAATGATTGAGGGCCCTGTTGCACTGAGCATCATACAGTTACATGGTGAAAGATCATCCCAGCTCCTAAAAGCTTTCAATCTAGATAGCCAAGGGTGTAAGGGGAAACAGGCACGGTGAAATAACTTGTCTGTTTGGCATGACCAGGAATAGAACCCAGGACTCCTGATTCCCAGTCCTGTGACCTAGCTATTAGACTATGTATATGATTTACAGCCATGCTGTATACTACATTTCTGTAGTGGAAATGACAGTATGTTACTATATCTGACGTATTAACATGGAGTTTTAGTGTATAGTATCATAATATGCATCTTGGCAACTAAAACCATATGGATGTTTCTGTTTGTTCTCCTCCAACAGTAAGAGCTTCCTCAGTGTGACAGTGCTGTTCTATATTATGGTTGTTGCATCAGCCCTAATGTGACTCTTTTTATCCTTTTGAGCTTTATGAATGCAATGTGCTTACTACGCAATGCAATCTGGAATGTTACCACATCGTTATCAATTTGATGTCTCATCATCATAATATAACTGAGAAATATGGTACTTATTTGTAGATATAGCACATGGCTAGCCTTGCTGCTGCTTATTAATTCTATATCTTCTTGAGCTAATAAAGCAAAGCAGGTTTAATAAGTCAATTGGGGCTTGGTCTAGCCTTGAATTGTAAAATTCTGGTCATTAGTACATTTGCTTTTTGATATTTTAATAAGCATTATTACAATCATGCAGCCTTAGCTCACGCTTTGCAATGTTAGATGGAACTTCTGGAGCATGCTTTTTGCAGTTTTCAAGTTACAGTAACATTTAAGGCCATTTATTGTACATCCATGATGCAATTCAGGTGCTATTATGCTGTACAGAAAAGCTACATTAATTAGCTTTTGTTTCAGGAGAACTCTTTAATTAAAACCCTGGGTTTCATTTATCTATTTTGTAAAATAAGAATATTGCCTTTTGAACTGATGCTTCATGCTCCTTTGGGTCCTGGTCCATGCAGCCAGAATCCTTGTTCGTCTGCGGTTTCTATGGACCAAGCCTTTAAGTTCACGTTAAAGTTTTCTTGGTCATTTTGTGATGACCTCAGTAGCTGCTGTTGTCCCCTACACTATATCTAGAATGCCTCCCTTCTCATGTTGGTAAATAGTAAAGGTAAGACAAGTAGTAACTTCAGCTGCTGTGTTCTTGCACCCTCATGGTATTACCTGTTACCCTGCCCTTGAAGGGTTCATTCCTGTGGAGCTGCATGTTTAATAACCTTCACTGAAAGGCAATATAAATTTTGAAGCAGCTTTGTGCAAATGTACATTTGGGGGAGAGAGGGAAAGGTTTGTCATTTTATTTGAGTGGTTGAATAGCTCAGGAACTGGTGATAGGTATAGAGCCTTCTACCTCTAGTTTTCCATTTACAATCTAATTTAAGTCATCAGACTAGAAGTTGTTTTCATGTGATAGTTGTGCCATATCCCATGGAACTCTGTTTGGTAGTCTCACTCCAGGTTGCCATAGTCAATTGTTTATATCACCAAAATCTACCACTATGCAGGAACCAAAGAATTCTGTCCCTTTTGCTATTTGACCCTTAAAGGTAGACCCAGTAGATGGGTAAAGTTACGTGCAGTGAAGGGACTTTTTTTTACATATTTTGTGGCTAAATGCAGAATTTTGATTTCTAGGGCTATCCATCAGACATTTGACACCACTTTAAAAAATACTTCAAATGGTTGTCATAATTATGTAGGGCTTTATATTACACTTTTTGCTGTAAATTAATTGTTCATATCTTAAAATGTAGACCATATTATGTACTTTCAGAGGAGAGACTACGCAGATGTTTAACAATATGTATGGCTTGTAGTTTGTATAAGAATTGTTGTATCTTATAAAACAGGCCTGGAGAGACAAGATGGGTGAGGTAATAATTTAGCAGTATGTTATGATGCCTACATAAATACAAAATACTATTACTAAACAGAATTAATGTTGATCTCTTCATTTTGGTTGAAGTAGTTTAATGAGAAAAATGGCTGACTAGCAAACATTCCTGTAACATGGGGACATTTTTATTTCTGTGAAACCATAGGACAGGACCACAATAGACTTGTACTGGTACAAAATGAGCTAGTTAAACCAAAATATAGTGTATAAGTCTAATAGAAGCTGTTTGCAAGAACCTTAATATATCATAAAGCCACCTCTTACATAATGTTTTGTAACTGGGATGAGGCATTGTTTGTGAATATTGAATGGACTGAGCCTCCTAAAGAATGGAGAGAAGTAGATTACCTCTTCAGATGGCAAGATGGCCATTTGCATAATTCCCATTTTACCTGTTCAATGCCTAACAAGAATTTAGAATAGCCTGGTAAAGAAGTCTGCTAGTGAAGATCTTTGCAGGAAATTGGATTGGTAATATATAGTTAATTTTGCTTTGTAAGGAAGAGTGCGCTTGGGATATAGAGCAATGACTTGAATTCATTTGAACGATTAAAAAAAAGAGGGCGGAGGGAACTAGCCCTAAAAACAGCCTTCGTCTTCAGGAGCTGGGTAAAAGGAATAAAATTCTCAGGTAAAAATATATCACATGTTTGCTAGGGAGAGAAAAGAGGCTAAAGTTTCTACTTCTGTACTCTTGGTTTGGAATGTTTTTTTTTTTAAATACAATAGCCCTTTCTTAAGCATGTGCTGCATCATTTTCCAGTCATGATTATGCTCTCTGTATATATGTGGAAAGCACAAGTCACCATGGTATCTATGCACCAAATACCAAATAATGCTGAAACTTAATTTTTGTAAGACCATTTTCTCTGCTTCAACTATGGTAGCGTTGTATGTTCCATTGCCTCTTCTTGGTGTGAGACCTCTAAAGAAGGAAGAAAACTCCTCATCTGTCATATTACTGCCTCTATTGTGCAAAGGGTGTATGTTGCATGTGCTGTAAAGGAGGGAAAATGTGCTCATCTTCACCTATTGCAGAAGGGAGTTCCATAGCTGAGCACCATTCAGTAAAACACCTTTTCCTCCTGGTTCATGAGCTTCATCCTCAGTAGGGTCAGAATAGTTGTCCCCTAAGTGCTGATTTCAATATTCATGGAGTGATGTGTAAGAAGAAGTGGTCCTAATGTAAATTGATCCTTGACCAATAAAGACCAGCACTTGCCTTCTGAAACGTGTAACACTGATTTTAATCAGTGATGGTTCATTGTGGATCTTCTTCCTTATTTCAAACAAGCATCACATCAAATAAATGCTGTCTAATTTTATCATGAGCTATTTAGGGGTAACGTTTTGTTTTGTTTTTTAAAACAATCTTTACCAGGATCACAGTGGCACTGAACATGCAAGCAGTGAAGAAGATTGCAGCTCAGAAGTTGTCATGAAAAGCTTGACTGATGATGAATGTATCAAAATGGTAAGTGTCACTATCTTTAAAGAAATGTGTTTAGTCCTCCACAAAATTCAAAGCTTGAAAAGTGCTAACATAAAATGGGTTTGGGACACTCCCAACTGTGGTGCAAGAGCACAAGTACCAACCTCAGGGCAGACTGTTAAAACACTAGGGCACAAACCCCAGATTGGTCATGAGTCCTAAACTTAGATTTCACCAACCAGCTGCATTAAGTGCAAACTCCTCAAGTGTATTAACAGCCTAAAACAAAATTACAGGCACTTCCCTTTGATACTCTGGTCTGTCTTGTCACCCAGATGAGGTATCTTTGTGATAGATGGCCCTTAAACCCAAGGATCACAGCAATATTCATTTTACTCCTAGTCTCAAAGTACCAGTCACTTTCCCAATACCTTGGATCTCACATGGAAGACAACGCTTGTAGCCATTCCTATAATAAATTATATGGAGATATATTAAATAGGAAAAGGAAGCTAGTTATTTACATGGTTAAAGCAAGTGAATATAGACACATGAATTAGTTAGGTTTTAAGTGGTAATAGAGGCTTCTATAACCAGCAAGCTCAATTTGTCCTTTAGGGTTAACCCAGAATAAGCAGATGGGGATCTCTTCCTTATGCCTAAGAAACTCCTTGCTCTTCCAAAATCCCTCCAACACAGAGATCCTTAGTTCCTTTCGTTTGGTGTTTTTATCCCCCTCCTGCCATATGCTCTCAGTTGCAAACTCAGTTGATGAAAATAAGTCATGCAAGTGGACTTCTCTCCCCTCTCCCCCCTGGGGGGGAGTGGGAGAAGGGTTGCAGAACAACTCTAAGAGCCTTAAGTACAGTGTTTCTCAAACTATTGTACTGGACACCCCTTTCACATAGCAAGACCCCCCCCATTATACATTAAAAACACATGTTTATATATTTAACACCATTATAAATGCTGGAGGCAAAGCGGGGTTTGGGATGGACGCTGACAGCTTGCAACCCCCTGATGGGTCCTGACCCCCAGTTTGAGAACCCCTGCATTAGTACTCTTGTTGATGATTCCTCAATCCAGATGTAGGGAGTTGCCAGTTGTAAGATCCAACTGTGGCCAGTCTGGTATCAATGGGTTTCCTCTTTCCGGATGGGTGTATAAGGAGCCTCTCTCTTCACACTAATTAATGGCCCTCTCCTGTATGGTGATTCATGCAGTCATAGAGGCTCGTAATACATCCCTTCAAATATTACATTGCAATATGGAATGCAGATATTACAAGTCAGATTAATGAATACAGCAACTCACAAGCATTCAATAGAATCCAAACACTTTCTTATAATTCTAATACATATCCTATCAGTATTAACCCACAAGTGAGCCAGACAGATTTCAGCTATGTATATATCAGAGTTCAGCGGAGACATGGGGACTTTGGCATGAGCTGGTGCCTGGTCTGCCAGCATCACAGGGCCTCATTCTGTTTTCACGCTATTGTAGTACAATTGAGTTTTAGTGAGTAACTCCTGATTTATCTAAGCGAGAGGAAAATCAGGTGTATGATTTCCTACACCTGTTCACATGATTGAGATGTAAATACAGTTTGTTCTATATTGAGGTACAGCAGTTGCATGCAGCTCCCTGGTCCTTCTCTTGAGCTATACTCAGCAACAAGGATTTCACATCTACTCAACAATATCTTCCGTGCCCCAGAAAAAAGCTTGTGGCTGTAAATCACACTCATGTTTATATCCTAGTGTCATACATTTTTAAAATCAAAGGGACCATTATCATAATCTAGTCTGTCCCTCTGCATAACACAGGCTATAGAATTTCTGCATCAAATCCATAACTTCTGGTTTAATGTGGCTCTGTCAGAGTGTGTGCTGTAATAAATATCAAACTCTGCATTGATACGTGGTGGTGGTTGTTTAATGTGTTAGGATTGTGGGTTATCAGAAATCTAGAATTTCTGGGGTTGTGCCTTAATCTTCTTTTAAGGCTCTGTTAGAGGTTAAAATAGAGAAATCCTAAGTATGCTGAGGAGTGACTAACCCACAGAAACATAAAATTTCTTGGGACAATCATTTTGTCTGCCTCCCAACCCCCAACCATCCACCCCAGGGCCAGCTCTGGCTTTTTGGCCACCCCAAGCAAAAAAAAACAAAAAAACAACAACAACAACAAAAAACTGCGGCGCGGCCGGAGCGTGGGTGCAGGGGGACCGGCTTGGGGGGGGGGGGAGGGAGGGTAGGGAGGAGAGAGAG